TCTTGCGCCCTCCCCTCTCCCCAAGCCCTACGGCAGCTCCCCACCCCAGCTCACCTCTGCTCCGCCTCCTCCCTGAGCACGCCATCGCTGCTTCACTTCTCCCGCCTCCCAGGCTTGCGGTGCCAATCAGCTGTTTGGCGCCGCAAGCCTGGGAGGGAGAGAAGCAGAGCGGGGCGGCGTGCTCAGGGGAGGAGGCGGAGCAGAGGTGAGCGGGGGCGGGGAGTTCCCCAGCGTGCTGCCGTGCCCCCCCCCTTACTTGCTGCAGGCGGTCCTCCCCGCGCCCCCCTGCCCCAGCTCCCTCTGCCTAAATGCGGACGACAACTGGGGCGGCCAAAGATCCAGCCGCCATGGTCGCCGCCGAAGAAAATGCCGCCCCCCAAATGCTAGTGCCCTAGGCGACCGCCTAGGTCGCCTAATAGGTTGCACCGGCTCTGGGTGACTGCATCGGTGATGAAGAGGGGACTTCAGCTTTTAAGGATGCCAGGTTGGCACCTTCAATGAGCATGAATTCCCTGTAAAAAGGCATTGAGATTGGATCTGATGGGTCTGACAAATTTCAGTTGAAATGTCACACTGGCACTGACGTCAGGCCTGAAAATTCCAGTTCATCTCACACAAAGAGGCTAGCGAGAAATAGGGGATCTCTTGACCACTTAAAACAAAACACATAAAGCAACAGTTTTGTAACCTCTCTAGTTCTAAAAGGACTTCATCAATTTTAGCCATGTGTTAAATAAAGAAATCACTTTCTGGCTTCAGACAAGGACAATTGCCAGTGACCAGCTTTCACTTGGTAAAGGTTTCACCCTACCCAGTTGTCTCTAAAGCTTGGTAACTGGGCTGAGGGAAACAAGGAGACAGGAAAAATAGTGCAGTTGTTAAGAAGCCTCATTTCTGCCCTTTCAGACACTTATTTAAATTATAAATTAATGGAGATATCCTATTTCCTAGAACTGGAAGGGACCTTAAAAGGTCATCGAGTCTAGCCCCCTGCCTTCACTAGCAGGACCAAGTACTGATTTTGCCCCAGATCCCTAAATGGCCCCCTCAAGGATTGAGCTCACAACCCTGGGTTTAGCAGGCCAATGTTCAAACCACTGAGCTATCCCTCTCCTGCTATTTGTAGCCTTCCAGCCAATTTGTTTTATTCTGAACCCTGTTAGAAGCTGTTTACCTCTCCCAATTCACAGCCTGATCCTTCGAAGATTTTCTCAATGGCACTGTTTCTGTGCGTAAACTGTTGACAGGATCAGCTCCTTAGATTTTTGTGGAACGATAAATCAGTCTAATTGGGGACTGATTGGAGGGAGAAACTATGCAGGGAACTTTTAAAAAAATGAAAAAAAAGAGAAACAATTTAGCAATACATGTATTCCAAATAGTATAGAAAAGGTGCTTGGGATCTGTCCCCTGCTGTCGTCTTATCCTTCTGCTATAGCATGAAATTCCTTCCTCCAGAAAATTTTATTCTAAAAGTATTACTGGAAATCTGTCATTTGAAATTAAAGAGCCCTATTATAATAGGAGACAGTCATGCGCAGCGTGTCTTGAATTGGTGCATTTTTAGTGGGAAATCCTGGTCCCACTGAAGTCAGTGGGAGTTTTGCAATTGACTTCACTGGGGCTAGGGTTTCACCTCTACTGATTAGAGCCTCCCACTGGGAATCAGGAGACCCGGTTTCTAATCCTAGCTCTGCCTCCAATTTGCTCTGTGATCATGGACAAGTCAAATCACTTCTCTGTGCTGTACGGCTGGTCTATGCCCACTTTGAACACCAGTTTAACTGCATCATTTTAAATAAACTCCTGGTGTGGACACTTTTAGATCAGTTTGAGTTCCTTTAAATTGGCTTAACTTAATTCAGTTGGTAACTGAAAGTTTTAAGACTACCCGCGGTAGGGATTTGCCCGGATTGAGCTACATTGGTTCCAGCACCAGTTGAGTTAAATCAAGAAGAACAGCCCTTAGTTTCCCTTTCTCTAAAACAGGGGTAATATTTACCCACCGTTGTAAAATACTTTGAGATCCTTGGATGAAAGGTACTGTATACAATAGACTGTATGTGTAAAGTAATAGTATATTATGATTATTTCTTGACTCATGGAAGGTACTCCATCTTAGGAGTCCGCACCAGCAGCTCAGTAATGAACACTTTGTTGTGGCTTATTGCTTAGTTAGCTCAGCTATCTGTGTATTATGATTGTGTCTAGACAATGGGGTAAACTTTTTGAAAAGAGCCTAAATAAGGATATGGCTTCACTGCAGAGTTAACTCCTCTTGAGTTAGTCTAGTTCAAGTGAGAGCCAGACACACAGTGAAATAACACTCGAGCTACACAAATTAATTGTGTTAGCAGTTGACAAGTGGGGCTGATTCTAGCCGGTATCCCCTCTTGGGTCAGCCAACACTCAAGTTATTCTCGGGTTAACTCTGCAGTGAAGACAAGCCCTAACTGGCTTAGGAGCCTACATCCCATTGTTTAAATTCCTACATCTCACTGACTTTCAATGAGATTTAGACTTATAAGTGCCTAAGTCACTTTTGAAACTGTGACTTTTAAGAGTTTTGGAAAGTTTTGCCCTCAGCCTGTTTTTTACGTTTCGGGATCAATGAGGCTTGTGAAAGTTTAATAGAGCTGGCAGTGCTAGATATTACTTTCCTGAGCCTTTGTGATACAGGCTTGTCTTGGTAAGAAACTGCCATGTGGCCTATTTGGTTTTAGTTTGTTTAGCATGTCGCCCCCTAGTGTTGGCTGTTGTGCGCCTGTGCTGTGTTATGCAAGGCCCAGATCAGAAGGACCTTCTCACCACTGTTAGACAATAGCTCAGATAATGGCAGTCTGTCTGGGACTTTACCCACTACCCCTATTGTGAGTTTCGTTTCCAGACCCTCCACTGAGTAGCTGTGGATAAATTATCCTGTGGCCAGGGAAAAAATACCTCTGCTTCTTCCCAAGCTCCTGCCCTCTCAGCCTGTTCTTCTCAGAGGCTAGCTGTATTATCACTGTCCACTGCTAGGCCACCAGAATGCAGACAATGGTTTCTGGAGCACTGGCTGTCTGCCTGGTAATGCTAAAAAGTGAAACACACAAAGAAGTAAATTTCATACTGATACTGAGGCAGAAGATGTGGATATTTCATGAGGCATAGAAGAAAGTGCAGTAGCAAATGAGTAGGGAAGTTCGCTGTTCCCAGAAGGACTTTCTCTGCATCTGACAAGCCCTGAAATATAAGTAGGGCCCTACCAAATTCACGGTCATGAGAAATACCTCACAGACTGGGAAATCTGGTTCTCCCCCCCCCCCCCCCCGTCGAAATCTGGTCTTTTGTGTGCTTTTACCCTATATTATACAGACTTCATGGGGGAGACCAGTGGTTCTCAAATTGGGGGTCCTGACCCAAAAAGGAGTGGCAGGGGGGTCACAAGGTTATTTTAAGGGGGTCACAGTATTGCCAGCCTTACTTCTGTACTGCCTGCAGAGCTAGGCGGTCGAAGAGCGGTGGTTGCTGGCCTGGCACCCAGCCAGTAGCAGTGTATAAGTAAGGGGTGGCAATACCATACCATGCCATCCTTTCTTCTGTGCTGCTGTCTTTAGCGCTGGGCAGCCAGAGAGTGGCAGCTGCTGACCAAGGGCCCAGCTCTGAAGGCAGCAGTGCAGAGGGTGGCAATACCATACCATGCCATCCTTTCTTCCACACTGCTGCTGGTGGTGATTCTGCCTTCAGAGCTGGGATCCCGGCCAGCAGCTGCCACTGGATGGACTAGATGACCAGCTCTGATGGCAGTGCCACCACCAGCAGCAGCACAAAAGGGTAGCAGTACCGCAACCCCCACTACAATAACCTTGCAACACCCACACACACACACGCACACAACTCCTTTTTGGGTCAGGATCCCTACAATTACAATACTGTGACATTTCAGATTTAAATAGCTGAAATCATGAAATTTACTATTTTTAAAATCCTACGACCGTGAAATTGACCAAAATGGACCGTGAATTTGGTATACTGATGTAGAGGCTTATTCGTTGCATACTGTGCGTTTTGATCATGCCAACGGTCTTGAATCATGTCAATCTTTTTCTAGCTCGGAATGAGCAAGAGGAGCAGGAGGAAAAACGGGAGATAAAGAGAAGATTAACACGCAAGGTGAGAGGCAACTTTTATACTGTTGTAGTCCAGCTGGAACTTTCTACTGACTGCATAAACCTTTGCCTTTTTCTTTTCCAGAGCACCCTTTTTAAAAAGAGAACTTAAAATATTATTGAACGAAATCTTAAACGACTGTCTATGCATTTTAAGGGCGAAAACCCAGGGGAAAGAGAGGAGCATCTCTGGGGACTTCCAGGGCAATTATTAGAAATAATGGAATGAAAATGAGCAAAGGAAAATTTAGGCTGAAGAGCAGGAAAGCATTTCTTAAGAGTAGCCTGTAAGAGTTAAAGCTTAACATTGATCTAATGCTATTGCCATTGAAGTCAGTGGCTCCCAATGATTTCTATGGGAGCAGAGTTAAGACAATGCTGAGTGCTTTTGAAAATCCTACTCAAGACACATACTGGGGAATGGACTTTTAATGGAAGGGAACTGTTGCCTTAACATTTAAAACTAGATAGGAACAAAGCTGTGGAGAATAGTGTGTAGTGCAGAAAAGGGAACAATCCTGTCTTGGCAGAAGAGGATGGACTAGATGACCTAATAGGTCTTTGCCATCTATGATGTTTCATAGAGGTTAAATAGTTAAGGTTAAATAGTAGTAATTTTATATATACTTGGTGAGCTGGTGTGAATCATCATAGAGTAGTGGTGGGCAACCTGCAGTCCTCCGCTGCTTCCCGCAGCTCCCATTGGCCACTGGGAGCTGCGGGCAGCCGGGCCTGCGGACCGTGAATGTAAACAGTCTTGCGGCTCGCCAGTGGATTACCCTGACAGGCCACCGGTTGCCCACCACTGTCCTAGAGCCATTGATTTCAGCAGCACTATACTAATTTATATTCGTTGAGGACCTTGCCTGTTGTTTTTAAATAAAGTTTGTTTGGCAATGATATCAATATTTCCCATATGAGGAGAGAGATGGAAGAAGCACTACTGTAAACTCAGACCGTTAAATAATTCTCTTCTCCAAACAGTTTTATAAACACCAAGAAGTTGAATAGAGAGTTGTAACATATATAAATAAGAAAATTGATAAAGGACTATAAACAGGATATATGTTGTAATATGAAAACAAAAGTTTTAATTCCAAGCTAATATTTGGGTCAGTTCGTCTTCTGTCTAACCTGGCTTCTTTCACCCTTAGAAATAATGGCCCAGAGTCTCAGTCTATAGCTCTATCTTGTCAATGGAGCTATGCCAATTTACAGATGAGGATCTGGCCCACTGAGCTATAATGTTTTAAAAAAAACCCATACATTCCTGACAACAAGACTAAGCACATTTCCACTGCCATCCTGTATACCGATGTTTGAGGAAAAGAATCAATTCACACTTCAAGGCAAAGCTCGGGTTAATCTCTGCACAGAAATTGCAAATATCATTTTGCAAGTCTTTCATTCTTGTTATATTTAGACAGGCAAACATGTACAGGAATCCAGTCCAAATGGTAGTGCTATTTGCTAAACAAACATGCAAGATAGAAACATTGCACACACACACACACACACAAATAATTGCCAAAGAATCTGGCTTTCATATACCAACCTGCCCTGTCACTGTACAGTTCCCCGCCACACACCCGCCTTTCAGGAAATGCAGAAGGCAAGAGCAGCTACTTGCACTGAAGAGGTCACCACTACAAGTGTTCTGTCTACTGCAGTGGTCTCCAACCTTTTTACGCCCAAGATCACTTTTTGAATTTAAGGGAAACCCAGGATCAACCTGGCCCCTTCCCCAAAGCCCTGCCCCACTCACTCCATCCCCTGCTCTCTCCATCACTCGCTTTCCACCACCCTCACTCACTTTCACCGGGCTGCGGTGGGGGATTGGGGAGGGGGTGCAGGCTCTTGGCTGGAGCCGAGGGGTTCGCAGTGTGGGAGGGGGCTCTGGGCTGAGCCTGGGGCAGGGGGTTGGGGTGCAGGAGGGGGTATGGGGTGCTGGCTCTGGGAGTGGGGGGTCAGGGATGGGGCAGAGTGTTAGGGTGCAGTCTTCGGGAGGGGGCTCAGGGCTGGTTTGGGGGGCTGGGGCTTGGGGGGCTGTGGGGGCAGTGCTCGCAGGCAGGAGCAGCACGTGGAGGGAGACCCCCGCCCCCGGGGGCACGCTGCCCACTTCCGGGAGCGGCACGGGGCCAGGACAGGCAGGGAGCTTGTCTTAGCGGCAGCCCCGCTGTGCCACTGGAGATCGCGATCAACTGGGAGATCCTAGTTGGTGACCACTGGTCTACTGTATAACTGCAACTCTACCTGTGATCCTGAAGATTTCAGTTACTTGACAGGCAATTCCTGTTCGCACTTGCAAACAATAGCAACGGTTGAGCCTGTTACTGCACAGCCTCCGTTCCCATTAAACTAGGTTCTTTGACGCTCATATCACACTCTAGACATGTTCCTTTTCGCCGTTTTTGGACTTTTACTAAATAAGGATATGATCTCATGAGCCCTACACTCTAATCACACTAAATTTCAGTGGGAGCTTTGTGCATGGAAAGCTCCTGGGATCAGGCCCTAAGTGGATACATGGCTTAGGTTGTTTATCTGTTTTCAATTTTTAAACTAATTGTTTTAGTGACAGCTTCTAATTGTCTGTAATTATACAGAAAGAACCATGGTACTTCAATACTATTGGATTTTGCTGTGATCTACGAATGTACTGTGTCCCTGTAGATAACAAATGCTCAGAAATCACTAGAGAGAAGGAATGAATAAAGTTTGAAAGTTGACAAATAACAATTAGGAATGCCAAGTACCTGGTGAATTTCAGAAAGATTACAATTATTCCCCAAGCTCTCGCTTTCATGAATATGGCCCAGATATGTCTCTGCATCTTGAGTACCATGGCAGGTTCTCTCTGCCCAGCTGTACTGAAGTCTTATTAGCAAAGGATGTTAAACCTGAGATCAGGGACAAAGCTAACTGGTCTTTCCAAATGTTTACTCCACTATACCTGCCTGTTTCTGGGTGGTATTTAATGTACACACACACAGAGCAAATTCAAGGTGATGAAATATATGCAGAGCTTTATTCAAGTAGCATTGTATGTTTAACAACAACAGGGAAAGATGGTTCTGTAGTGTCCATTCTAAAGTTTCTTAACTGTAAAAACATTAAACACAAATTGTTACCCATCTGATTTTGTGAGACCATCCTGTCTTCAATGGAACAGTTCCACTTCAGTGACCAGGGGCACCTGCAGAAATTCTTCATGTGAACCACGCTCACCTTGCGGCGGCTGGGCACCTGTCCCATGGGGCTGGGCCCCTGTCCCATGGGGCTGGGCATTGCAAATTGTCATACAGGGTCACAACCACCCTCAGATTTGCCCAGCAACCACTCCATCCAGGAGCTACTGAGCGAAACCTGAGTGGCATTGTGACCTCGCATGCCAGGTCGCAACGCCATTTGATTTGGGGGCCCCCCCTCTCAAATGGGAGGCTAAGGCAAACTGCCCCTTTCCCTTCCCCCCACCACCTCTGGACAAACCTACTGTCCACCTGGTACCCCTGCCATTGCTATGCACCATGCATAATACACGTGTGGCTGCGGGCACCACTGACAGCATCCTTGAACATCTTCTAGGACTGGCCTTTTGTCACAGGATGATGATATATTGAAATATGACACACTATAATGACATGAGATTTTACCCCATGGGCAAACTGTTAAAGGTTACATTTTTAATTCAGACATCCAAATGGAGACCTCTTCAAAGCCCAGAAAGGACTGGAAAGGAGCCGTTGATGATTTCATAAGCTTCATTACACAGAAATCCTCAGTGCAATTCAAAGAGCAACTTAGATTTACTGTAAATCTGAAACCTGAAATAAATCTCTCACGGACCTAGATCCAGATCAGGGACAGAGTAACACATTCCTGAGGTGTGTGTGGAAGTCCTAAAGAATGGACCAGTGGTCTGGGGGCACTCTAGATGGATCAGAAACTTCATAGTAAGGGAAGCACTGGAGAGAGTGGGTCAACAGGATGCATCAAGGAGTTTCAGGATGGTGAGGGAAGGCAGCCAAGGCTGCAGATGAACATCACAGGGGTTGTTGAGGAGTCTGTACAAATTGTTTCCTCTTCCTTCTTTCGTATGGCAACTTAAAATGTGACAGTTGTTTCCTGTATGGCTCAAATGCTGATAGCCTAACCCACAGAAAGTTCAGTTTGGTTTTTAAACTGGTTTTTTGCCTGTGTTGTCCTGGAAGTCTAATTCCAGCTTCTGTGGATTTCACTATGTACATATCTCTCTCTAGTTATTTACATAGTGCTCATCACCGTGCAGGCTTTCTTGGCCCGTTAGAGGGTGAATACAGTGCCCAGCTGACATGCTTCAGCCTTCTCTGCAGCTTCTTACTGAAAATAGGGCCAAAACTACATGTTCTTCTTCAGGTGGCCTCTGCACATTCCCACTCTTGGGATGAACTGACAGTGCATCTTGAACGAGCAGAACCTTCAGTTAGCAATGCCTGTTGGGGAGCACTCTCCTGGCCCCTGCTCCTCCCCTTGCAGCTTCTAATGTCAGGGCATGGCACACAGACTACCTTCGTTCCTTCCAACCACAGGAGCAGATGGACCAGGAGCCTTGCCAGGTTTTTGGATCATTCCCCGTGCAGCAGCCTTCAATTAGATTTTAATTAGTTCTACATTATTCTTTTCTTTTCTTGTTTTTTTTTTAACTAAGGATCTGATATGTCAGAATTAACAACAGCAAAGAAACCAGGGTCCAAGGGGGTGTCTCTTGCCCTGCCGTTTTTCTAAACTCTCCCTTTGGGAACCTTAGAAATGACCCACCTGGTTTTCAGTGTTCTGGGTTCACTGTCTAGGAGTAAGATTACCCTGCCAGCTCTCGATGGTTTATTAGTGTACTCAGTAAGTACCTGGCTAATCCATCATCTGGACAGACAATTTAAAAGAATCAGACAAACTATACCAGTTGCATCCTGCCAGTTCCCATCCTGGCAGACGCATCCAGCTTCAGTTTCGTTGGTGGTGGTGGCT